TTCTTTGTCAGCATCTGAATTCCAGTTTTTTTTTCCCTCAGGCCCCATGGAAATACTGAGGCTCCCCATAACTTTTCAGTATTTTAGCTACTACTTTTATAGGCAGATCTTATTAGGGAAGAATTAGAATTCCCTGCCCCCCACCCCTCAACCCTGCCACTACCACCAAAGAAAAAGTGCCTGGCTAGACCCTTTGAACTTCTCTTGGGGTTCTTTTTTGGTTTGAGATTTTACATATTTTTATCCAGATTTTCTAGTTGTGCGTAATAGAATTAGAGAGGTGTGTATACATATGCGATATGCATGCAAGTATATGTCTGTGTGTGTGTTTGTGTATGTCTGTACACACTTGTCAGCCGTTGCTGGAAGCCAGGGTCTTGTAAGTAGCAGTCTTTTCAGTTTATAGAATCATTCTGAGGTTTCGGAGCACACCGGGTAAACTTTGTGTCTGCTCTCTAACTCAGACTTCCTCTTGACATTTTTATGTAGAATTGTAATCTGGTTGGGATGGACAGCTCCCCCAGATTGTATGATGTAATGCTTTTGTCATCTGCCTTTCACTGACAGATGCCTCAAGAGTATCTGTTCATAGTAAGGATAGCAGACAGATGGTCCCCGATCACTGTCATCTTGAGGCCCTTAGCATGAGGCCCGTGTGCATATCCTGAGTCTTTCCCAAACCCCATCCTCTCCCCTAACCTATCCTACCATGACTTTAGGCAGGGCAGATATAGGCAGATGAAAGAGAATAATTGTGAGCAATGCCATTTATTTTATACTTCATTCTACCCTGTTGGAATAAGCAATGGCCTGTGCTTATCTCACATGTTTACTTAGTTTGTTAGGAAGCTTAAACTATAATTTCTGTCTCATAAGACAGCAGAGATGGGGACTGACTAAGAGAGTGTAGGAACTGCAGATAGTACAGTAGGTAAGGGATGAATTTCGTACAGAAAAGATGGCTTGCAAATTTCAGAGGATGAAGCCAGTATCTTGGTCTAAGATATCAGGTAAAACTGGATGGAAAAATCTAAATGTAGAATCAAAATAGACATCACAGAGCCCAAACATTAGGATAGGCAGAACATGTCATTTTACTCTGTTTAGGGTTTTAAACAGGCATGAGTAAAAGAAAATATTATCAACTTAGGCAGAAGAAAGCAGAAATAAACATTTCAGGATGTGGAACAATTAGGTTCACATAAAATCACAACCAGAGAACTTATTGTACTTTCATTTCTAGACCAGGAACTGCTGACATGGGTCTTGATTTTAATCCCCATATTTATAGTAGGATGTTGATGACTGCCCAATATGACCAGCTTCTCAGAAAGAGAGCAGGCCCTACTTTACTTAAAATTGCTATTTCTCCTACTTGGTCCTCACCATCCTTTCTAATTCTAAAGAATTACAAAGCACTTCTGTAAAGAGAGAGTCCTAGCGAAATGGATACATCACATGCACATGAATGGATCATATAAAATGTGCTGATTACTTTTCTCTTATGAAAAGAAGAACTCAACTGTTTCTCAATGATTTTTAGAGTTTGAAAAAGAATGTGAGATCACTCAGATTCCTCATATAAATATGTCTTGCTATATTTGGTTCATTTAAAAATCCTATCTTTTAAAACTGTTTTGCTAAGGACATAAGCATAAGTCAATAAATCTTGGTTATTTCCTACAGTCAGTAGACCCCAGTTTCCTCATGTAGGTTAAGGTGAGAATATTGACTTAATCAACTGACCGCCCTGGAGAGTGCCTCTTGTCCTGTACTCAAGAGGTAATGTGTCAGTTAGCTATTGCCACAAATACATTTTGTTATCAACCACTCCAAAACCCAGCAAAATACAACATTAACGATTTATCATGCTCACAAGTATAGTACTAGGGTTTTATAACAGGTTTGGCTGGGCCTAGTGGTTCTGCTTCTCACTTAGATCTGTGGCAGCTCTCCTCCTGGTGTCTCTTGTCCTTCTTGGACCAGCAGGGTAGCCCTGGAATGTTCTCGCATTGATGGCTGAGGCGCAAGGGTATGAATGGAAGTAGGCCCTTTAACCAGAGATTAGAACTGGAATAATCTGACTTCTGCCCACGTTTTATCACTGAGAAAAACAAGTTACAGGGCAAGTCCAAAGGCAATAGATGGTGGTTTACAGTCTGCCTATGACAAGTTCATGGCAAACAGATAGATACAGAGAGAGATATAAAAAAGTCAGAACTGATAATCAAACTTCAGGTTACTTGTGTGTTTGGATATGAATGCCTGCAGGAAGTTTTCTGACAATACACAATATTTACTTCATTCTCTTTATTTTCTTTAACCTGACGTGTCCCTTTGATTACTGTTTCCTTCCATCACTAGTCATAGAGGTAGTAAGAACTTTCTGACTCTGAATTAAGTTAAATTTGTGATTTTAGCAAAAATTAGTCAATTAAACCCCATGAACTAATGCCCAGATAAAAAAAATCTATGGACTAAGTGCCACAGTGACTGTCTTCTTCCTGCCTCAGTTACTGCTCAGTGATCATGGCATACTTCCCCTCTGAGGTCAGCTACAGGCCTTAGCTCTGCCCTCCAGACAGTCCTAACCCATCAGGCAGATGTGTGAGTTGAAACTGTTGTTCTTACACGAAATGAACCAGATTCCATTCACTCTCAGATCCTCAAAACACCTGACTACCATCAGGAAGTATGTATCCTTATGCAAGGTAGTATTTCACTGGGATTACATGAGATATTTTACTTTTCTTAATTCTTATAAATATGGTAAATAGTGCTCATGGAAAAATATCACAAAATAAAGCATCGAACTATTGTGTGCCCTTGGAACAAGGTATTCACTTTAAATACATTGTATTTAAAATGATATAATAAATATTCTTGTGCCTGATATGATTATAAAATAATTTTACCAATTCAAGTTGGCATTTAATTTTATGCTTAAATGTCTTAAATGATTTGATTAGCCATTTCCCTATAAGGAATTGAATAGTAGTCCATTTCATTTGCTGGTGAGTATGTTACTGTTACTTGGATACATTTCTTTAGACCCTTTCCAGGTTTCAGAAATATGTAAGTTTACTTCATGTGAACTGCCATTAGTTGACAGACTTCTAGGGCTGTGAGTGTCAATTCACCGAACAAACATTTTGTATTTTCTATACAAAGACAAATAAGGCAAGTTCCTCTGCCTTGGGGAACTCATAATTTGTATCTACGCAAGTAATCAGTATCTAATCCTTGCAGATATGTAAATAAAGGCAAGCAGATGAGGACTTTGGTGCATTTGAGAGTCTTCAAAGAAGGAGCATTTTTAAATTGTGTCTTAGAGCACATTAGAGAAATGTGGCAGATCTCATTATTCACAGCAAAAGGGGAAGGACAGCTCAGGCAAAAGCATTTAAAAACTAACAGGCACAAAGTGGCGATGGTACAGAACATGTTTAGGAATAGCAGTGCACGCAGGGTATGAGTGAGGGAACGATTTTGTTTGTTCATCCAAGACATGATGAGGGGTTTCACTAAAACATTGACATGAGAGATGGAGAGAAGGGCCTTTTGAAGAGATATTTTAAAGATTGTTTGAGAAGACTTGGTGATGAATATAGTGGAACAGGGAGGGGAAGGTGACAGAAGAGGCAGAGACGGCTTGCTGATATCTCAGGTCACCCTCTCGAGCATAACGATAGTCACTGAAATGGGGAATGTAGGAGGAAGTGAAGGGTGTTCCGAGGTGGTTGAAAGGGTCCAGAATCAGGAAGTCATTCAGATATAAACAAATATAACTAGAGATTACGTCAGCCCTACAACTTCCTGTGGAAGTGAGAGCCTGTTCCCAAACATTTTGACCTGAGGCTTCAAGCAGATACTGGAAACTATTTCTGGAAAAAAAGAGAGAAGAATTAGTTTGAAGAAGAGTGCCATGTTCCATCTGATAAATTTTTAGAAATAAGGCTGTTTTCAGTCAGCCATGGTGATGCTTTCCACATATCCTAGAAGTGTACCTTCGTTATACCGGAACAAATGCTATCTTAGTTTAGGATACGAAGAATGAGACACTCAAATTACCCAAACATTTTCTTTTTCTTTTTCTTAGCCCCCCGCCCCCACTCTATGTCTTCTTTCCTTTTTTCTCCATGGAGGTGTCATGGTTGATGTGTTTAAGGAGGGAAAGGTCAGAGCTCGCTGCTCTACGTTGGGTGAACCTTCTGAACCTTAGAGGATAATTTGAAGTCCACGTATCCTCCAGTGTACCAGGAAGTCTTTTACTTAGCATGGCTAGTAAATAGTATCTTCCAGAAGTGAGTAAAATGAAAAAGAAGCCAAATTCATGTGATTTTGATTCTCTGTGGAACATATTAGCCCTCTACTAAGTGATGTGGGGTCTCCAAACTTTTTGAGGCCCTTAGGTTATTAGCAATCAGCTAACCGTAAAATGATTTAACTCTTAAGTGCTGAGATGGAAGCAAACAGAAATACAGACTTGGCCTTGTCATTGTACACCTTTAACCTAGAAGCTTTCTTCTGGTTTTATCTCCAACTCCTAAGGTTGAAAATAGAACTACTTTCCTGCCCCCTGTTGCTTTGTGGTTTCTCTGGATTCCTTATTTGTAACTTGGTAACTTTTAGATGTAATTTGTCTATTTCTTGCAACAGTTGAATCAAATATGTTTTTTTAGAATGAAAACCGAAAGCCTAATGTTCGCTAAAGCATTTGCTGGTACTATACAATGTGATGATTATTTGATTTTTCTTTCCTATTTGAGTAGAGGCTTACATTTTCTGGTTTAACATTATTTTTACAGATACTATTATTTGTAAATTATTAAAACTGTTTCATCTGAAATGTTTGTGGGCTTCTAGCTTCATGTACTGAACAACATTTCACAAGGCAGATTTTGGTAAAGCTGTTTGGTTGAAACCCATTATTGTTACTTTAGGTGCTGACTATTCTGATGCCGACTTTCCAATTGCCTTGATTAAAGTAGAAACGTTCTATGGCTTGGATGACTTACATTTCAAATTGGTTTGAGCAAGATGATTGGTATGAAGGACTACAAAGAGTAAGATATATTTATGTTGTGATTATGATTTTCTGTGGGTTTTTCTGCTTACCGCGCACGCAGCTGTATTTCTTTATAATTTATTTTGCAGACACTTTTGCATTGAAATATTTTGAGGGTAAATAAGATACTTGGTAGATTCCAAAGCAGAGGTAAGAAGATAGTATGTAAATATAGTCATAATCGTACATTGATGAAAAGATTTTTTTTTCTGCCTTTGTTTCATGAAATCTTAATATTTTCAGAATGTCTTCAGGCTTGAAATATAATATAGATTCTTGTTAATGAGATTAATGTATAAAAACAGCAATACTTTTAAGTCATTTTACATAAAGAAAAACATTTAATGAAATAGAAGATGTGTATGATAATACTATATATTACATTAATATTGTAAAAGAAAGTGCAAAAATTTTCTGAAGAAAATGCCATGTTCTATCTGATGAATTTTTAGGCAATTAATTATGTTTCAAAAGATTTGCATTGTTACCATGGCAACTTTTGTATAGTATTTTGAAAATAGCTGTTCTGATCTATTATTGCAAGAGTATTTAAAAGTGCACCTAATCAAAATTGATTTAGTATAAAATAATACGATGTCGTTTTTATTATTTTCACATTTTGAATGGAAGATTTCTTTATTATTTAAATGAAAGCACTTTGTGGATTTTTCTTTTCTTACACAGCTGGATTTTTCTTTTTATTAATGAGTGGAACCAAGAGCCAGAGTATCTTCCTCCAGTGTCTCCAGCTTTCCTCCCTGTCGAGTCAGAGGGCAAACAATACCAAAGATAGGAAGCAGTGCGTTTCTCTCCTGCCTTACTTCCACGGGGTCCCTCCTCCACACGTCCATGAAAGACATTTTCTCAGTATTTTACTTCCTTTTCCCTATCTTTTTAATTGTAATTCCTCAGCAGTTTAAAGCTTCCTGCCTTTGGGCTTTTCCTAAAAAAAATTTTTCCCCCCAATTCTAAAGCAAGCTGGTAAACATCTCTGCAGCCGGTTAATAGCAAACTCCGGAGAATAATCATTGTGTTAGGGACCCTGAAGTGTTCTCAGAGAACAGATTGAGAATCAGTGGGTAGCTTGTCATTCTGAATTTCAATCTTATCCCTCAATGATGGAAATATTCCAGCTTATGAGTTTAGTAAGTCCCACTGGACTGCACACACACTGCAGTGCCAGGACCCTGTGTTTGTGTTATGTGTGTGCACTTTAAATGTAATGGTAAATGCATTTTTGATGTTGAACCAAAGAGTTTTTTTTTTTCAAGTATAGCCCATGTATTTCTCAATGGGAGGGCATACTAACTTGCTGAAATGCTTTTCACTAAAATTGGGTGTTCCTTTAGTGACTAAGGGTAGTTCGTAGAGATGATGGGGATTCAAAATCTTGTTTTCCATCGTGACTCCAGTCTGCCCTTTAATACTACCATCGGTCTTTATAAATGAACTCCTGGCTGAAACCTATTACAGAAGCAGCTGTTACTATATATAGATACAGTTCAACCCTGAAATTACAATATTGTTGTCTTCGTGAGGTTGAGCTTCTCAAGTTTTAGTCAGTTCTTACATAGATTCAGATGAGAGTGAAAGATAGTATTCTAAATAATGAAAACTGGCACATGAATATGGACTTCAGTTTCTTCTAAAAGTATAGCATGTATTTTTCAGATGATGTGTATGTGCATATATGTCTTATGTAATCATCAGCATTCAGCATAGCAAATTTTTCAATAGAAATTTTTTCTCCTAATTTATTTAAAAGCAAAGTTATAACATTGAAGCGTGGGGTTTATAATGTCCATAGATACAACATATTTGATAATAGTACAAAGGACTGTATGGGGTGAATGAAAGTATGGTTATGGGGTTAGTACATTTTGCATGAAGTAGAGCAGTAACTCAGTGTACAACAGATGCTGGCGAGGATGCAGGAAAATGGGAACCCTCTTACACTGTTGGTGGGAATAGAGTATTCTTTTAAATGTTCACAGGAAAAGATAAGTTGGATTTTTTAGTTAAAGTTGTAATTTAGAAATGCAGTATTTGAAAAACCACATACAAGTGTGAGTTTGATCTTTAGTACAAAATTATGATAGCATTATTTTGATATAATTAATATTTATGGCGTAGGTATATATTTCTATAGATACGTGGACACATACATATGAACTTGATTTTAGCTTAGTTTTACAATTTTGCTTTTGGCAGTGTTGTAACTCTAGCTGTATTTTAAAGTTCATTGTGATTATTTCATATCAACATTTTCTTGCATATTCAGAAGTGAACTTTAATATTATACAAATCTAATGTAAATATACTCTTACCACTTGTTTTTTAAAAAATTTTGTATACTTAATGTGAACAGCATCTTTACTGTAATTATAATGTATGTGTTGTACTTTGTATGAGATTGAAACAAAAAATTGAATTTGCAAAAAATTGTCTTTGCAAGTAGGTTGTTGCCAGGCTCCTAACACTGTCACTTATATGTGGGGTGACACAATGCTCAGACTTTCTTCCCAAAGCTTTTGTAACTCTCCATTATTCAGTGTACCACAGGGGCTTAGTACTTCATCTTTAAAGTGTGCATGTTGTTTCTGGGCCAGTAAGATTATATTTTTCTGAAGCAACAAATCCTTAGAATGGATGTGGAAATTCTTAAATCATTCACCTAAAAATGCAACCTATTCTAAAGTAAGGATACAAAAAAGTACATAGTATTTATCTGAAATCTATAATTAACTGTTACATTCAGTTAATATATGCTTATTTACCTAAATATGTGACATTTTTTTTTTAGGATTTATGTTTTTAAAAAGGCATATATTTTGGAATATACCTGCAGTTGAACATTTTCCATTTTTAGTAATGCAGGATTATTAGTTATGTAACCATTCATGCTGACTACAAAAATAACAAAAGGTTCCAGATGTTTCTTTTTTCTCCTTAGCAATTACAAACATCACTTAATAAAAGCTACATCATGTTACATATGTTTTTAATAATACTTTTGAAAAATAATGTGGAAATTTGAAACACTGCCCATTTATTTTTTTATTTTTATATTTTTTAAAGATTTTATTAATTTTTGCTCGAGAGAGAGAGTGCGAGCATGAACAGGGGAGAGGGGCAGAGGGAGAAGCAGACTCCCCTCTACGCAGGGGGCTCCTTGCAGGACTTGATCACAAGACCCTGGGATCATGACTTGAGCTGAAGGCAGATGCTTAATAACTGAGCCCAGGTGGCCCAGTACTGCCCGTTTAAACACCTAATTAAGATTTAGAAATGCAATAGTATTCATATATTTAATGATGTACATTTTTTTCAAATTTTATTCAAAATCATAGATCTTTACAATAAATTGCCATTTTGTTTTATCCTGCTTATTACTTTGATGGCTGGTTTGGACAAATTATTCAACTTTGAATTTAAACAGGAATTAAGTTGTTAGCTTGTAAGACTTGTGAAAGCTGCTTAGAAGCAAGGTCATACCAAATTATATGACAATATTGAAATTTTTATATTCTCTACACTTGGAAATTAAAAAGTAGTAAATTTTAAAAAGTAGTAAATCAAAATATACTGATAATTAAAGTAAAAATACATTGACAAAATGGATTTTGAAGTAACTTATTTATTTTTAATACATAGCAGAGGGACTTGGAGTTTTTAGTTTGGCAGGTAAGGAGCTTAGAAGTCTTCACTCTGGCCTAAAATGATAAAAAGCTGAACAAACTGAAAAACCAACCACTCTTCTTAGATCTCTAAGAGAAGTGAGGTCACGAGGCAAATTATCACAACCTTTTAGAGCAGAGAACATTGGAATCATCAGACCAAGAATTTAAAGAAACTATGATTAATATGCTAAGGATTTTAATTTAAAAAATAGACAACATACAAGGACAGATGGATAGTTTAAGCAGAGAAATGGAAATTCTAAGAAGAATCAAAAAGAAATGCTAGAGACCAGAAACACCAGCAAATGATGAATGCCTCTAGTGAGCTCATTAGTAGACTCTTTAGGACTGAGGAAAGAATTTCTTAGCTTGAAGATATGACAGTAGGGATTTCCAGATCTGAAAAGAAAAGAGAAAGAAAAATGGGGAAATAAAAAGCAGAATAGAATATGCAAGAGCTGTGGGACAACTGAAAATGTGTGCCATACACCTACTGGAAATACCAAAACAAGAAGAAAGAGAAAGCAACAGAAGCGACAGTTGAAGCAGTGACTTAGGATTTCCCCAAATTAATGTCAGACAGCAAACCACAGGCCCAGGAAACCCAGCAAATATGAAACATGATAAATGCAATAAACAAAAAACAAAACAACAAAACTATACCTAGGCAAATCATATTCAAACTAAAAAAAAAAAAAAAAAAAAAAAAAAAAAAAAAATAAAAAAAAAAAAAAAAAAACCAGAGGAACAAGTATAAGAATCACATTCAACTTCTCAGAAACCATGAAACCAAGAAGAGAATAAACGAAATATTTAGAGTGTTCAGAGAAATAAAATACGAGCCAAGAAATCCATACTCTGTGAAATTATCTTTCAAGAGTGAAAGAGAAATGAAGACTTTCTCAGACAAACAAAAATTTGGAAATTTATTGCCAGTAGACCTGCTTTACAACAAATGTTAAAAGAAGTTCTTCAGAGAAGGTAAGTGATATAGATCCAAAGCTCAGATCTGCATAAACAAAGGAAGAGTATTGGAGAATGTATGAGTAAAGGTAAAATAAAACCTTTCACTTTTCTTAATTGTGACCTTGTTAACAGTTTGAACAGTTTGTTTAAAACAAAAACACAGAGTCCCACATCGGGCTCCCAGCTCCATGGGGAGTCTGCTTCTCCCTCTGACCTTCTCCTCGCTCATGCTCTCTCTTACTGTCTCTCTCTCAAATAAATAAATAAAATCTTTAAAAAAAAATAAAAAATAAAACAAAAACACAACAATGGATTTGATTATGTATGCTTTTTTTTTTTTTTAAGATTTCAT